GGCCACGAAGGACTGCAACGGGGCCACGAGGGGCGGCGAGGGGGGCCACGAAGGGCTGCAACGGGGCCACGAGGGGCAGCGAGGGGGCTACGAAGGGCAGCGAGGGGGACACGAAGGGCAGCGAGGGGCGCACGAAGGGCTGCGACGGGGCCACGAGGGGCAGCGAGGGAGGCACGAAGGGCTACAAAGGAGCCACGAAGGGCAGCGAGGGGCCACGAAGGGCTGCAACGGGGCCACGAGGGGCGGCGAGGGGGGCCACGAAGGGCTACAACGGGGCCACGAGGGGCAGCGAGGGGGCTACGAAGGGCAGCGAGGGGGACACGAAGGGCAGCGAGGGGCGCACGAAGGGCTGCGACGGGGCCACGAGGGGCAGCGAGGGAGGCACAAAGGGCTGCAAAGGAGCCACGAAGGGCAGCGAGGGGCCACGAAGGGCTGCAACGGGGCCACGAGGGGCGGCGAGGGGGGCCACGAAGGGCTGCGAGGGGGCCACGAAGGGCAGCGAGGGGCCCACGAAGGGCTGCAACGGGGCCACGAGGGCTGCGAGGGGCCCAAGAAGGGCTGCAACGGGGCCACGAAGGGCAGCGAGGGGGCCACGAAATGCTGCAACGGGTCCACGAAGGGCAGCGAGGGGGCCACGAAGGGCTGCAACGGGGCCACGAAGGGCAGCGAGATCCCGATCTCGAAGTAAACCGTGAGGGAGTCCTGAGCGTCAGCGCGACTCCTGGGTGCCTGGGTGTCGGGAGCGCGGCGCTTGAGTAAATTGCGGGGAAGGCCAACGCAAGAGCGCGATTCTTCAGTAAATTGCAGGCAAGTCTCCAGCGAGAGCGCGATTCCCGAGCGCCGAGAGAGCGATTCCTGAGTAAAGTGTAAAGAGGTCCCCGGCGAGACCGCGATTCCTGAGCAAAATGCGAGATAGGGATCCCGCCAGCTGCGATAGGATCCATATAAGGGCCCGACCAGCTGCGATCAGATCCCTCAAACGGATCGCGTCAGCTGTAACAGGATCCCTATAGGGATCTTGCCAGCTGCGCTCGGATCCATATGAGGACCCTACCAGCTGCGATAAAGCCCCTATAGGGGGAAACCTTCGTAGACTGCATGATTTGAGGCCTTGAAAGGGGTGTCGTATGAGGTCTCATTGGAGGCCAGCAGGAATCCTGGAACGAGGCCTGGGAGGAGGCCTGGGAGGACGCCCAAAAACGTGGATTCCTTCTCGTCTCCACTTCCTTCTCCTCTCCTCCTCCTCTTCCTCTTCCACCTCCTCCTCCTCCTCCTGCTCCTCCTCCTCCTCCTGCTCCTCTTCCTCCTCCTCCTCAGCCTTATCCTTTCCTCAGGCGACGGGGTGACCGCGTCTTGTAGGAGGCCTGGGAGGAGGCCGTGCAGGAGGCCTTATAGGAATTGCAGAAGCCTGGGAAGCAGGGCGTCGCAATACAGCTTCACGGCTGCGCGCCAAGCTGCGACAGAAATTAAGGTATCTTGCCAGAGCTGCGGCAGGGACCCCTCACCCCCCGCGGCCCAGACAGCGTGGGCAAAGACTGGTTCAATCCAAGTTGTTCGGGGGCGCCCCCGCTTTCGTTTGAAGGTATGTGATGCGGAGCTTACACAAAAAAAAGCGTAGGACACTGCCACGGGTCTGAGCATCAGCTGGCATCCAGATCATCAGCTGCCAGCTTGCACGATGACATCGATATGACCTCAAGGTGACCCCGCGGTGACCCCAAGATGACCTTGATACCACCCCGCAATGACCTGAAGTTCGTTCATCGGGAGCGGCCAAGAGGGGGGTGTCCAAGAGGGGGGGGCGCAAATCATGACCGTCGGCATGTGCGCTGACCAGCGGGGGGCTAGGGACGTAATGAAATAAGAAGAGGCGCCATGAAATCTGGGGAAATATCATGGCCCACGCCATGATATCGACCCCCCCCCCTAGTCATCACCCCCCTCTTTTCCGCCCCCGAGTTCAGGGGCAGTTCCAATATGGCACCAGTGTCGGAATCCATCATCCCTCAGTGATCTTTCCACTCCAAGGGATCTGTCCAGATGGCGCTCGATGTCATCATCGCCCTCCAGCTGAGACACTTTGCGGATCAGGCGGCGGTACGCTGTAAACAAAGGTCGGTCCTGGAAATCCCATGGAACTTCCCACGGTGACCCCAAGATGACCTTGATACCACCCCGCAATGACCTGAAATTCGTTCAGGGGCAGTTCCAATATGGCACCAGTGTCGGAATGCATCATCCCTCAATGAGTTGCGAGGATATCTCGAGCGGTAGCCGTCCGCGCTGCTGCTGCTGCTGTTGTTGCTGGGGGGGGGGGGGGGGCGCCGGGGTCCGGCGCTCGCTCCTACTCAACAGCAACAACAACTATAACAACGACAACAACAATAATAATATCAGCAACAACAACAACGACGACAACGACGACAACGACAAAATCAACAACAATGACAACAACAATGATCCAAACAACAACAACAACAACAATAACAACAACAACAACAACAACAACAACAACAACAACAACAACAATTACTAGCACGTGGGGACACTCCGTTCTCACCAGTGCCAGGGTTTTCATACGACGCCCGCCAATACCCCCACTTTGTGGGGGGGCCGGTTCAAGCTCTACCACATTTCCAAACGACTCTTCGCCACCACCCACACCCAGCTTCCCGCCCTATGACGTTCGGACACTTCACTTCGTGGCCTGCGGACGACCGTGGCTACTACACTGGCGCATGGGTACAGTGACTTGTTGTGGTAACATTTTCTGGACGCTAGCTTAGTATACGACTTTTCCCCCTGTTCCAACACTGGACACCTGTACTGGTTTTTGGTGGTAACGTGTTCCTGACGCTAGAATAGGAAACCACGGTAAACCAGTACGACGCCGGTACTGTCTGTAGGTCCTACAATGATATGGACTGCTTTGGCTGGTGAGGCGCTAGCGTCTGATACGACGTTTTTCCGTTTCTGTACCACACAAGCGAAGACACTTATTTTGAGTGGTACCACGTGGGTGGCGCCAGCATACCACAGGACTTGTTTCCGTTGTTGTGAGACGATACATGCTCATTCTTGTTCTGTGGTTGTCGTTCCGGCCTCAATGTGCAATACTGGCTCATTCGTCTACGAAATACACGTGAGTAGCTCTCTCTGGTTGGAGGTCCTGATGGCCCTGGCAGGTGCGCAACCGTTGTTGGAGAAGTTCGAAGCACGTGAAAAAGTTGTTCGCAAAAGCCCGTTTGACAGAAATGTTTAAAAAGTGTTGGGTTTCCTACAAATCCGCAAGAGCGCGCGGGATGAAATTTTGACACTTTTTTTTGAAAAACCATTGGTTTTTTATGTTTTTATGTTAAAATCGCTACGAACACTAAGGTTTTGGAAGGATTTCGTCTTGCGCGCGCGAATGTCCACTTTACCTTTTTTTTTGCAAGGGATTCTTGAAGTTTGGTTATGTTAGAACAAGAAATGTCCACTTTGCCTTATTTTTTGCAAGGGAAAACCGCCCGTAACAAAACAACCGGATCCGGACCAACCCGTTTTGCCGGAGACTTCCTCACGAAAATGATGAAAACATGGCTGCGGCCTAGGCGCGGCGAGGGGGCCGTGCACCAGGGGCCCCAACAATAATTATTCTTTAGAAGTAATAATGTTCAACAACAACAACAACCACAACAATAACAACAACAACAACAACCACAACAACAACAACAACAACAACAACAACGACAACGACAACAACAACAACAACAACAACAACAACTACTACTACTACTACTACTACTACTACAACTACAACAACTACAACAACAACAGCAACAGCAACAGCAACAGCAACAACAACTACAATAACAGCAACAACAGCAATACCAGCAACACCACCAACAACACCACCAACAACAACAATGATCAGCTGAAAACTGTTCGCTCTTACCTGCTCGCGTGCCATTGAACACGCATACCCCAACCCCTCGGTACCCGCCTTCTTCGTCTTCGATCGTACTCCCTTGGGGGTACATCTTCCTTACCTGCCACGTGCATTTAGCGCAGCCCCTGAAACAGAGGAACAGAGGTCGGATGAAGGGTGAGGGTGACGGATGAAGGGTGAGGGAACGGAGCACGAGAGAGAATAGCAAAACGAAGGCCAAGAGCAGAAAACATGTGGCATAACCAGGCCGGCAGATCGGGCGGGTAGACCCCAACGGGCGGGTCGGGAAGGCGGGCACAGGCGGCCAGCTCGAGCAGGTGGGCTGCTGAAGCGTGAGTACTGCATGAATCCCCAGGAAATCTCGAGCAATAGCGCGATTCCCAACTAAATCTAAAAAGTAAGAATGGCCAAAGCAAGAGAGTGATTCCTGTGTCGGGGGCGCGGTGTTTGAATAAATTGCGAGGAAGTACCACGCGAGAGCGCGATTCCTGCATAGATTGTAAGGACGTCCCAGACTTCCTTGTCTTCACCCTCCTCCCTTCCTTCCCCTGCTCTAGCACCTGCGCCAACTACACGCGGCAGGTAGGGAAGATATACCCCCAAGGGGGGTACGATCGAAGACGAAGAGGGCGGGTATCGAGGGTTTGGGATATACGTGACGAACCGGCACGCGAGCGGATAAGAGCCAACAGTCTTAAAACGATTGTTGTTGGTGGCAACATCAGCTGGGGTCTGGGGCCGTGGAGTCTAGGGCCCCGAGTCTGCGAACCAGGAGTCCACGACGCAGGAGCTTATGAAGGGGCCCTGGAGCACACAAATAAATAGACACAAATCCCAGGATTCCCCATTTTCCATATACTCTGGATGTTCGTCTCCCCCTGCTTCTCATATTCTCCGATATCTTCCTGGGGATCGACGATTGATTGTGTCTGTCTTTTTCCCCCTCCTAAGTGTAGGCACCACGAATCCAAGGCCCTTGGCTCCCAAGGCCCTGGAGTCCAGCGCCCGTTGCAGGGGAGCGCCGTTAGCCGAGAGCAGCAATGGCTGATCGGGCCCATGACCCCCCCTCCAGAGATCAGTAAGAGAATAATCACGAAGGCCACGAAGGCGCCCAGGAAGCCGAAGGATCTCAGGATGCCTGCGCAGCCCTCCTCCTCAGCCTCCTTCTGCTCGTCGGCCTCCTCCTCCTCCTCCTCCTCCTCCTCCTGCTCCTCATCCAGATCCTCCTCTTGCTGAGACCTCCGTTTCCTCTTTGCCATGATCTCTGCCAGTGGTGAAGCTCATGCACCTCCTGCTCATCCTGCTCCAAAGTCTTTCGCTCGAACACGTGGTGAACGCGATCGCGCTGGCAGCCTTGGACCTGGTTTGCTGCATGGCGGTTGCAGTGGTGGGACTGCTGTGGCAAAAGCGGCGGTGATTGCTGCAGCGTAGCAGTCTTGACGATGGTGGTAGTGATAAAGCTGGAGACGGATTTTACGACTTGGGCTGCGGTGGCGTTTCGCCTGGGACTTCCTCACCATGTATACCTCCGAAGCTTGAAATTCGCAACAGCTTCAAAGATGGGGGGCAGCTGGCTTTCAAAGTGTGGCTCTCGCCTTTGCGCCACGTACATGGGTACTAAACGTCTGCTACATCTTTAAGGAAGGAGGACAAGTTTTCTTCAACATATGGCTGTCGCAGTTACGCTGCGCTCCTTCCTCATTGAGGACAATTCCTTTTCAATATGTGGTTCTCGGCTTTTCGCCGCGCATACTTGTTTTAAAAAGAATGCCACATATTCAAGGACTCGTACGGCTTAAATTCAGGGAACGGTGTCCTGGCGCGATTTGGAATTGTGAGGACGCGACAGTCACGTTGATTCGCGATGCTGAAGTCCCAGGAATTGCATGTTGGCCTTACGTGGGATTGCCAGCACGCAACAGTCACGTTACTTCGGAGCGTTGAGGTCCCAGGCATGGTGTTTTATAGTGTTGTGCCACGGTTGAGGATTCTCTGGCGATTGCATTCTAATAAGCCACGGCCCGCATTGAAAAAAATCCTGTTCGGGACCTACGGCGAGGGAACTTGGAGGGAGGGTATGCTGCAACATTGTTGATGCGCAGTGGGTTTGCACTAGTCACCTTCCTCATCCTCATCTGCCCCTCCCTCCCTCACTCCAACCCCCACCCTCCTCTTCCTCCTCCTACTTGCTCATTTTCCTTCCCCTTCCATATCCTCCCCGCCTTCTCTGTGTAAGACCCCCATAAATGCCCCAATAATACCACCGAAACCCCATACATCGACAAGATCCCTCTTAAAGCATCTTTCATCCTCCGCTTCGTCCTGTATATACTCCTGGTCCTCCTCCTCATCCTCCTCATCATCCTCCTCATCCTCCTCCTCTTCCTCCTCCTTCTCCTCCACGTCAGCATCATCATCCTCATCCTCACCATCATGATCATCATCATCATCGTCATCATCATCACCATCATCATCATCATCATCATCATCATCAGCAGCAGCAGCATCATCAGCATCATCATCAGCAACATCTCCATCATCAGCATCATCAGCATCATCATCTTCATCGTCATCAGCAGCAGCATCGGCATCATCATCGTCATCAGCATCAGCATCAGCATCATCATCATCATCATCATCAGCATCATCATCATCATCATCATCAGTATCAGCATCATCATCAGCATCATCATCATCATCAGCATCAGCATCATCAGCATCATCAGCATCATCATCATCATCAGCATCATCAGCATCATCAGCATCGTCATCAGCATCACCATCAGCAGCATCATCAGCGTAATCATCATCATCATCATCATCATCATCATCATCATCATCATATCCGTCGTCGTCAACATCGTCATCATCATAATCGACATCATCATCATCATCATCAGCATCATCATCATCATCATAACCAGCATCGTCATCAGCATCATCATAATCATCAGCATCAGCATCACCATCCTCATCATCAACATCATCATCATCAGCATCAGCATCATCATCATCAGCAGCAGCATCATCATCAAAATCATCATCATCATCAGCAGCATCAGCATCATCATCATCATCATCCTCATCATCATCATCATCATCATCATCATCATCATCATCGGCATAATCATCATCATCATAATCAGCATCGTCATCACCATCATCATCATTATCAGCATCATCATACTCATCATGATCATGATCCGCATCATCATCAGCAGCAGCATCGGCATCGTCATCATCATCATCATCATCATCATCGTCATCATCACCATCATCATCGCCATCATCATCATCAGCATCATCATCAGCATCAGCATCAGCATCCTCATCATAATCAGAATCATCAGCAGAATCATCATCAGCAAAAGCTGCAGCATCATCATCGTCATCAGCAGCAGCATCATCCTTGTTATCATCAGCATCGCCGTCATCAGCATCATCATCAGCATCATCGGCATCGTCATGATCATCATCATCATCATAACCAGCAGCATCATCATCATCAGAAGCAGCACCAGCATCATCATCATCATCATCACCATCATCATCATCATCATCATCATGATCAGCATCATCATCGTCATGAGCATCAGCATCAGCATCATCATAATCATCAGCATCAGCAGCATCATCAGCGGCATCATCAGCATTATCACCATCGGCATCAGCATCATCATCGTCATAAGCATCCTAATCGCCGTAATCATCAGCAGATGGAGCATCATCACCATCAGCGTCAACATCATCAGTATCATTATTATCATCATCAGCGTCAGCATCATCAGCATCATCAGCATCATCATGAGTTTCAGTGTCAGCATCATCAACAGCAGCATCGTGACCATCATGGGCATCAGCATCAGAATCCTCATCGGCAGCATGATCAGCAACAGTATCGTCATCAGCATCAGCAGCATCATCGTCGTTACCATCATCATCATCAGCATCATCCCCATCTGCATCAACATCAGCAGCATCAGCGTCATGATCAGCATCAACATCAGCATCATCATCATCATCATCATCATCATCATAAGAATGGCATTTTCATACGCATCATGAACATCAGCATCATAGCATCATAATCATCAGCAGCATCGCCATCATCATCAGCAGCATCAGCATCAGCATCATCATCAGCAGCAGCAACAACAGCAACATCCCAATGAGGTGACAGCCATTGCATATTGAATTTGAGCTTGAGAATGGGGAGGGGAATAGGAGGGGGACCTCCCTCTTCATCCCTCCCGATATATCCCCCTCGTCCTCGTCCTCGCCTACGTCCTCCTCCTCACCCTCCTCCTCCTCCTCCGCCTCCTCCTCCGAAGCCGTGTTGGCTCAAGACGCGCTGTTGCGCGGCGCAACGTGTCCCCTGCGTCGCTGCAGGAGGGGCTCCACCCGCGTGGAAGAGCACCGCTGAGACAGACGTGCACGCGAAGGAGGCGTCCGCAAAGTGGCACCGGAGCCGCCAGCTCCCGCGGCGAGCCGCGGTCTGATACGACCAGCGTGGGCTTGTGGACGGTGCTCAGCGGCGGTGAGCTGGGCTTCACGTCAGCGCTGTCAGTGTGGAAACGAGGAACCGAAACCCGAAACCCGAAACCCGAAACCCGAAACCCGAAAGCCGAAAGCCGAAACCCGAAAGCCGAAAGCCGAAAGCCGACAGCCGAAGCCCGAAGCCCGAAAGCCCGAACGCCGAACGCCGAAACCCGAAACCCGAAGCCCGAAACCCGAAACCCGAAGCCCGAAGCCCGAAGCCCGAGGTTCACCGGCGCGCCTGCACGGGAGGCCCGCGGCGAGACCGCCCACAGGGTCGTGCAGGCCAGCCCTCCGCCCCGAAGCAGGGCAGATGACGCGACAGAGCGGGGCGGCTGGCAGGGATCGGGAAGCTGCTGCGTGGGCAGCAGCAGGGCGAGGGTGCCCCACGTTTTCTGTAGGTTTCCTTAGGTCAGCGCCCCGACTGTACCACACGAGCGCCTTGACCTAAGCCCGGGGGGCAACGACAGGAGGGGAATGGCAGCCCTCCTCCCCGAAGCAGGGCAAGGACGCGACGAGCAGGCGGCTGGCAGGGATCGGGAAGCTGCTGCGTGGGCAGCAGCAGGGCAAGGGTGGTACCACATTGACTGCCTACCAGACCACCCCGACCCAACCCGAAGACCCCAGTTTCGGGTTGGGGGGGGTACGGGTTCCACATGTGGTTTTTCGATGTTCCCCGACAACCCCCCAACTGGAAATGGAGGGCAAATTGAGGCCTTCGGGTTGGGTTGGGGTGGTTTGGTGGGTGGTGACACACGAGCGCCTTGACCTAAGCCTGGGGGGCAACGATAGGGGGGGGAATGGTAAAGGGGGGGACGCATCGACCCGGAATCGGCGATACGTCGTCGATAGATCGGCGATGGGCCTCTGAGAGTGAGTCCGCGGGGTCTATGCATCCCCCCCTACGCCCATCCCCCCCTATCGTTTCCCCTAAAAACCAAATTATCCCAGTGCGACCCTACCTAGGAGTTGGAACCCCTAGGAAAGCAGCATTAGTAGTAGCAGTAAAGCTAAGCTAAAGCTAAGCCACAGTTAAGCTAAAGCTAAGCTAACGCTAAGCTAAAGCTAAGCTAAAGATAAGCTAAAGCTAAGCTAAAGCTAAGCTAAACCTAAGCTAAAGCTGAGCAAAAGCTAAGCTAAAGCTAAGCTACAGCTAAGCTAAATCTAAGCTAAAGCTAAGCTAAGGCTAAGCTAAAGGCTAAGCTAAAGGCTCAGCTAAAGGCTAAGCTAAACGCTAAGCTAAGCGCTAAGCTAAACGCTAAGATAAAGCTAAGCTAAAGCTAAGCTAAAGCTGAAGCTAAAGCTAAGCTAAAGCTAAGCTAAAGCTAAAGCTAAACTAAAGCTAAAGCTAAAGCTAACGCTAAAGCTAAAGCTAAAGCTAAAGCTCCCAGGGGACCGGGGGGAACCGCGGGGCGGGGACTGGGGGAACCGCCCGGGGCGATTTCCACTGCCCGGCCCCTTTAAGCTAAGAGAGTAAGAACCCTTCTAGGCAGAGCCTAGGTAGGGAACAAAGAGGTCACGTGAAGGCAGGCGCTGGCCGGCGCCGATCCCGGACCAGTCAACGATGTAGCTGCCGAGCAGACCAAGAGGGCAAAGCTGGCGACGCAGCTGGCGATGTGCGAATCTGCACTCAATGGGCCAGAAAACAAACGACACCACCCTACCTACGGCCCGACGAGCCGTAGCGTATACCAGGCCATCTGGCGTGGGATCTTGCATGCTAAAAGCTGCGGCCCCCGATGGGCCGTAGCGCAACATGGAGGGCCGACGGTGGGGTGGTGTCGTTTGTTTTTGTTGGCCAACTCAGACCAGCGGGCGAGATGTACCCCAGCGGTTGCCCACAGGAGGACAACGCAGACCCCTCACAAGGGAGAGCAGCAGCAAGCGAAGTCGGGAGCAGAGATCGCGGAGATAGGCCAGCAGGCTGCGAAGATCCAAGACGCGTTCGACGCAAGGAAAGTTCAGCTGGCAGCAAAGTCGATCGAAACCAGCATGCTGCAGGCGGAGTGCAAGAGGACCGAGGTCGTCACTGCGGAAGATGGTGTTAAGCGAGATGGCAGCGCGTCCCAAATGCCCGACACTTGCATCTATGTCGAAGAAGATCGACATGCAAAGCTCAAGACATCCTTGGGCACGTGAGAGCGTAAAGCCCTCAAGAGCTGTTGGCAGCGAAGTTGCAAGGCTCTGACGTGGGCAAACCAGCTGCTCCTCGTGGTGACGACGCAAGCATGTATCAAGCAGCTGAGGATGGAGAGACAGGTGGTGCAGCAGCCTCAGCCTCTGAGCCAGTCAAGCGGTCCTTTGACAAGCTCGGAGAGGAGGAGCAGCGATCTTTGTTCGAGGCGAGCCAGGGAGGTGACTTCGTAGCAGGCCTTGGACAGCGTCGAGAGATGGCAAAGAAACAGCGACGTGCTTGACGACATGCATATGGACTTCGACCAGCAGCGTCGCCACTGCTGTGCTGATGCCAGACCCCCTGAGCCGTGCCAGGGTCAGAGTTGACATAGTCTTACAGTCTTACTGGAGTCAGAACCCTTGAGAAGCGCCACAGTCAACGTCGCCAATGTGTTGCTGATGCCAGAGCCTTGGGCGCCCCCTTGACTCTTAGGCAGACCGAAGAGGATGCCGCCAGTGGAGGCTCAGGGGCTGTACGCCTTCGAGTCCTTCAACGCCAACGGTGGTCGAAAGACGCTAACATACCTATACGGCCACCATTCGGGTGATAAGGGGTTGTGGGGGGGGGGGGGAGAAGGGGGGGAACCAACATCTGATTCAATCGATCTCACTATCGATCTCACTCAACGGGACACCACGGGACACCACGGGACACCACGGGACACCACGGGACACCACGGGACACCACGGGACACCACGGGACGCTTGTCGATCTCACTATAGATCTCACTATCAATCTCACTCAACGGGACACCACGGGACACCACGTGCCACCACGGGACACCACGGGACACCGCGGGACACCTCTCGATCTCACTATCGGTCTCACTGTCGATCTCACTATCGACCTCACTCAACGGGACACCATAGGAAACCACGAGGGGACACCACGGGACACTTCGGGACACCACATCGATCACACTATCGATCTCACTATCGATCTCACTATCGATCTCGCTAAACGGGACACCACGGGACACCACGGGACACCACGGGACACATGTAGATCTCACTATCGATCTCACTAGCGATCTCACTTTTTGAGACACCACGGGAAACCACGGGGCACCACATCGATCTCAGTATCGATCTCACTATCGATATCACTATCGATCTCACTATCGATCTCATTCAACGGGACACCACAGGACACCACGGGACATCGCGGGACACCGCGAGCCACCGCTGGACGGGCGGGAGAGGGAGAATCATTTGTCTTGACTTCTCCCTAGCAACGGCGGACACCACGGGACACCAGCGGGACACCGGCGGGACACAGAGGGCCACCAGCCGCCAGAGGAGAAACAGTTGGTCTGGCCGCGGCCCAGCCACAGGAGGATTTCGGGACACCAGCGGGACACTGGCAGGATACCGCAGGCCACCGGCCGCGGGAGGAGAAACATTTAGTCCGGCCGCGGCCCAGCCATTGGAGGATTTCCTATCGCCCGCCCACACAGCTTCGCCTCGCCCGCACGCACGCACGGCACGCACGATACGAACCCGAAACCAAAATCGATTTCGATTTCCCGGTAGGGGGGGTCTCCGTTTCACGTCGGACTCACCCCCAACCTCCGATACGATCACGAGAACCGCGACACTCGCACTCCTGGCTCAGGCGATCGGTTACCGCAAGGACACAATCGAGGGGCTACACTCATGGGTGGCAGCACGTGCATGGAAGATGCTAGCTACCAAGCAGGGCGACGAGTGGACTCGCGTCAACAGAGGCAGCCATTCTTGCTCGAGGAGATCTTGGTCTCCGAGAGCCGACACATCATGATCATGGTGTCCCTGAGCAGGAGCACGCTGCAATGGACCTGCCTGGATGGCCAGCCTTCAACATCATAAACGCATATCGATGGGACCAACTGGGGATATCAACACAATGTTGCTTTCCAGGACGGGTCTGAGGTGCAGCCAGATTCAAGGACCGTGCATGGCTGGGGCCGATTGGAATATGCAGGTGCAGGAGCTGGAGACGCTCGACTTCCCCAGACTCACGAACGTGACGATTGTGGTCCCCAAGCAGATCACATGCAAAGGTGGGACGGGATCGACGGTGTTAGATTATTCCGCGATCAACGACGTTGCGATGCGAGCTTACCGAAGAATTCAAGCTGATACGACGTGGAACCGCAAACCACATCGTCCCGTGTTGCTGCACTGGGTAACTAAAGGACTCAGAACGGAAATGTGCATCTACACCGCTACCCGGGGTTGTCCATCGCAACCTGTTTTCGGCCCGAAAGATGCTCCGACATAGAGGGGCTCGCACCATGCACAGGCACAAACCCGTGTGGACATTGGCGCACGATGAGAGCAACGAGGTAGCAGTAGCAGTGGGCGGAATTTGCAGTCACAGCAGCCAAAATCATCACTCGGGAAGCCGGTGCCGAGCTGCGAATAGACGCCCCGTACACGGAGACCCCTGACACGCTCAACAAGACTCGGCGGCGAGGGAGGGAGTAAGTGATAATGGGCGGGCCATGTCTGAAGGCTCGAATTCCCCTGGCCTTCTGAGAAGTTTTGCAAGCCTTCCGCGAAGACACAGAAAAAATCTCAGAAGGCACGAGGACTTCTGAGAAGTCCCGCCGCCTTCTGAGAAGGCCTTTTCCTTCTCAGACGCCTGGTGGTTTTGGGGTCATAATTCGGCTCTCCTGTGGCCATTCGGGACGATCTGGGTACCCCCAGAACGCCCTCGGCGAGGCGCAGCCGCTGGAACGCACCCCGAGGCTGGAAAACCGCCGAGAACCGACGAACACGTCCGAATACCTCGAATTTCGCGCCCGAAACTTCCCTCGCTCGCCGCCGAAAGACGGTGGCTGAAGGAAGGTAACGGTTGGCGAACAGCATCGGCACCACCCATCCAGTTAAACGGAGGGACCGCTCACTGGGAGGAGTGTTCCGAGGAGATACGTCAGGTTCGTGTCGTGCCGACTTCGGCGTTGGTTTCTGACACCGCGGGGATCGTTCGACCTCGAACGATCGGCCGTTTCCGAAACGTCCAAATCGCTCCACATCGAACGATTCTGGGTCGCCCGCGGCGTGCAACGTTGAACGCCGCTGGCGAAGTCGCCGCCGGCCGACACGACACGGACCTACCGTAAACGGAGGGGCGGCTCGCTGGGACGAGCGTTCCGAGGAGGTACCGAGGAAATTTCCTCGCGGTGCGGTGCTGCTGCCGGGGGCTTGGTGGCAGGCTGGGCGGCGCCGTGGCGAAGGCCAGACTTCTGTTGCTCCCATCGTACTGAAGGACCACATCCCAGAAATAATTTCGAGCACCCGGAAAAGTGTCGAAGGGGTGTCGAAAGAGTGTCGAAACAGTGTCGGACGAGTGTCTCCCAGGGCCCGACACATGAAACCCTCGAGTTTCGGTACTTTTTTGGTCCTCGAAATTATTTCTCGTGGTCAAGGCTAAAGTCGGTTGGAACATCATAAGGCTAGACACGAAGTGGGCCAGATACCAAGGGCGCCTAACCTCGCGCTTCGCGCTTTGCGAAGCGCGAAGAGCGAATAACTTGGCGCTCTCGCGCCGCCCCCCCGGGAGAAGAGGAGGATGAAGAATCGGATCCGAATCGCGAAGTGCGAAGCGCGAAGCGCGAATCACTTCGCGCCCTCGAGGGCGCCCCTGGATACCGTTGGATTGCGAACGACTGGCATCGTTCGCGGAGGACATTGCTGATGACATAGAGCAGCGGGTTGACTGGGGCGTGGAGGTAGCGTCGCGTGGTGCACGGGCACTACACGGAGCGGCAAGGGTGAAGGAGATCCCAAAAGCGAACACCAGCCAGGACAAGGTCAACTCAGGAAGAGATCGAGTCGTACCACATGCTGCGGTTGGCGAACAGCCAGGCGCCTCGGGCTTGGGTGCCAGACAGCAGTTCATGTCCACGGATGACGCCAGCCGAGATTCGAGAAGGAGCTCGGCCGTTTCCCGAAGGCAAGGCATCGTCTTTCGACCACTTCCATGCTGCTGGTTGGTGTTGAAGGCTTGGAGATGATCAGCATGAGTTGGGAAGCACCGGAGGCAATGGGTTTACTTCCGTACCAACTTTGTTGGATTCATCTGCCGATGTTCGCGAGTGGAGAACAGTGCACGACCAGGTGGACAGGAAGTTCTGGAGCGCATCCAAAGGACATCGGCAGATGACTGCGCGCGGCCTCATGCGTCGCGAGCTGAAGCCAACCAAACAGAGCAACGACACTCAGAGCTATGGGTAACTAACGAATCCAAGTAATACGAGTCCATACCGCTGCAGGAGCTCAAGTGGAAATGCTTGAGGATCGACACCCCCATGTGCTGGCTCAAAATCGTGTACAATTACTTGGTGCGGACCGAGAATGGTACGCAGCGAACGGCATCATTCGGTGCTCTATGCTAAGTGCGTGCTGCCAGCAGGTGGCAGATGCGCGGATCTAGGAATAAAGGCTTCATGCAGCGTTCGAGTTCGACGAATTCATGAAATGCCCGACAGTGGACTTCCTCAACTGAAAAAAACGACTGGACGACACGGCAATCCGTGCAGCGTCAAGCGACTTCGACATAGCCAGAGGTACAGCGGCGCAGCCCATGAGAGAATTCAAGAGGACGTCCACCAAGCTGAACGCGGTGATCAGCGAAAGCAAGCTCGCACTGGTGGTATCATCGACAGAGCTTTGGCATGCGGCGTGCGACGAGCTCGGGCCTACCCAGACTGATCCTCAGGACCAGCGTCGCAGACTTGCGGGTTCACGAGCATGCTGGAGCGAGGTCTGCGAGAGGTTCGAGACTGAAGCGAAAAAGCAGGCTGGCAGGAATGAGGCGGAGGCTGCGTAAGGTGAAAAACGTCAAGCAAGGTTGCTGCAGCAAGGAAGCCCCAGTTGGCAAGATTTGTAGTGCTGGCGTTTCACCAGCGCGCAACTGTGGAGTAAAGTCACTGGCTTGACCAAAGAGTGAATGGCTGACCCACCACAGGCGCGATTGCTCCCATCTCGCGGAAGCGTTCCCCTGTCAGCGGAGCTGGTCCTAAGAGAAGATACGGGTTTGAACCAGGAGCGGCACCGGCCTCGCAGCGTCGCGGAATAACTAAGCTGGTTGACCCAGCCTCTTGAGGGCGGCCCCCGTCGACGCGGGGCCCCCTCAGGCGAGCGGTCCTGGTGCTAAATCAGGCGGGCTGGAGAGCGATACGGTAAAGGGCAACAATTAGTGGACACTCCCCCTCTTCCAAAAAATCAAAGTTGGCACGCGCGGGGTAGACTGCGGCCGAAGTGCAACTCGTCAGAGCCACCGCCAACTTGGAACACTGGGGGGAGGGGGAGGCGTTGTCCGCTGAATGTGGCATGCGTTGTCCGCTGAATGGCATTGTTCCGAGGCCTGCAGTTCCACTAGAACGACGAGGCCACGAGAATTCAAGCGTCAGGGCTGACGAACGCCCTCCTGCCCTGCTCGCGGGCCAGCTAGCCATAGGCATCCAGCGAGCACACGAGATTCTATAGTGGCCAAGTGAAGTAAGCACCCAGACCACAGGACCACCCTCCATCTCGCGCGAGGCAGAGCTGGGCCGAAAGCCCAAGGGCTAAGTAGGCAGGCGAAGCTTCTGATCAGGAGCTGTGCGAGCAGTGCAGTGTGGAGCAAGGAGAGGGGCCGTTTGGCGGGGTACGTGACGGACGGGTTGAGCTCGTGTGGAAGAGTCGAAACGCTGCTGCACCAAGCACTCGATCTTTTCACGAGACCCGACGTGCAGCAGACGCGTGCGGAAGCTGCTGTTACGCCTGAGTTATTAGCCGCGGCTCTTGAGCCAGAGCTGGATATCTTTACTCGAGGCATTTGCGTGTACCCCGGTAGTGAGCTGCCACACGTCTTCCGAGGTCGAGATGGACCCCGAGCAGCTTGCCGATGTAGCTACCGAACCTGTCCTAAGGCTAGTTTCGGGCGGCTCCTTCACCACCACCACCACCACTCCTCAGAGCTTTGTGGAGGGCTGGATGGTCGATAGGGGTACTCCCTGCCAGTGGTCAGGGGCCCGAGCCAGTTGCAGTAGCGCGTGGGGTCGTCCACTGCTTTTGCCCTGAGACGCCTGCAATGCCTGAGCACCCTGGCGTCGCGTCGCGCGGGCAGGTGGCACACAGACCGATCCCAGGAGGCTACAGACAGCCTGCCACAGCTCGAGAGAGAGAACGTGGTGCTGCGAGTTCGGCTGCTGATCGCGATGCGAAGATGGCCGTGCAGCGGCACGAGCCTGCAGGGCCGAGCATGTCTCTCGAGCGCCCACCTCTCGCGGAAGGGAGGGCGAGAATCAGTGGTGCGAGTCGGCTGTGCATGTGCGGCCTCTCCCTGAGACGCACCCCAGGCGGACCCGTGCCAGGCCCAAGTCGCGGCCCGGGGCCTCGGGGGAGGGCGAACTGGCACGAGTGGGGCCGACGGCGAGGCGGGCCGGCGGTGCGCCGAGCGCCCGCAGACGGGAGGAGATCGAGGGGTGCAGAGGAGTCGGACGGCCGCGGAGGGATCACGGCCTGCGTCCAGAAGGTCCCCACGCACCCTGAAGGGCGCCTTGTCGTCGTGGCTGGCGCGACTCTCTCGGAAGACTGACCCAGGTGGACACCCAGGAGGGCCTATGCACAAACAGTTCGTGGTGTGCACTCTCCCTTCGGGCACTCCGTTCCATTCCTCCTCCTCCCTCATCCTCCTCCTCCTCCTCCTCCTCCTCCTCCTCCTCCTCCTCCTCCTCCTC